TAGGTACACCGTTTCCCTCCATTTTCCAATTTTTGAGCTTTATTCCTTGGTCATTATCAGTCTATGTTGCAGCTTGGGCTTTCCGCTTTATATTCGACACTCGATATTCGACGCCATGGCTCATTCTTCTCGGCCCCATCCATATCGCGCTACATCTACGGTTGAGACACCACTGGGTACCCGAAATGTTGGATGGCTTGCTGGACCCCGAGGCCTTCCTGGTCACGTGAACCCTCCTCCAAACCGACCTGTTCTTATCTTGATTGACTACTCCCCCTTACAGGCATTGACTCATCGCAGCGAACCTGACCGTGAACACTACATGGCTTTGGCTAGCTCAAATTTCAAAAATGTTAGTGGCTACGAACTTGAAGCTCTGTTTACCTGGTCACGTCAGATGGAACCAGTTGAAGCCGGCCTCATTCCCACTGGCGAACTACGCTTCTGTATCTCAAAAAGATTGAAGTCCCAATGGGACATCCAACTTGACCCTTCGAATTTGGAGTTTCGCTATTGCGACCTGGAAGGTGATACATTCCAAGTCTCCAATGACATGACGATCTTGCAGCTTTTGGAGGAATACCGACCCGAATGGCGACTCCGGCAGTACAACTACAGCGAATCCTCTTTGCTCATTCCTGGTACCTCACAGCCTTTCGTGCTACGTCTGCGATGCCACAAAGTTAGCCCCGGTGTGATCTTGCCCTGATACGCTCACTGGCCAAAAAAGACCATGCTGAAGGGCTGTTCGTTTTACCTATGACACTTTATCAACACAAAGGATTCTTTGATTTCCACCTTGTTAGGCTTTGAGCTCTGTCCTTTCCGTGGACCTTGAACCACTTGATTGAGGACTGGACTTCACTTTTATCATCATTATTATTATTATTATTATTCTCTGGCTTGGCTTTTGTTCGCAATTTCTTGATGCCTCAGCCTTTGTCGCACCATTCACGCATTTCTGATCGTTTCACCCATGGAGCATAAACGTGACGCTACCGTGGCGGGCTTGGCTTGGCCTTCGAATCCCAACCGTGGACTCGCTCCCACCAACCCAGATCAAGCACCAGACGCCCAGGCTTCTGCACTATGTCATTCTGGCCTTCCTGACCCTACTACCGTGACCACTTCGGCACCTTTGGCAGCTGACAGTACAACTACCGACATTGGAACTACGGCCCATTCTGATACATATTCAGGCTTCGCACCTCCTGATGTCCCTTTTCCGACGGAGCCAAGTCCTGCATACCACTACTTCCATCGTGCTCCCTTCTCATCCCGCGTGGTCCACTAGATCCAATTCAAGATCATTACCCACTCCAACAATACCAGGGAGTTATTCATCGAAGAGATCCCCACGTCGGGGCTCTCCAAATGTCGTGACCCCGAGCACTACTTTTATGGTCTTTCGGGCAACTGGGAGCGGTCCCTGCGCACAGCGGACTATTGGCGACATCACTTTGAGATTCCTCTAGTTCATGGGCATCATCCTTTTCACAATGTTCCTATTGAGACCACTACACCTACGGAGGCAACCCGCCTCATTCCGAAGATCCAGGACCTGGCCAAACAACTTTCAACCACTTTGACGGCTGCTATGGCATCTGGGGAAATCAACGAAACGTGGAGGATGGTTGAAGGCAGGAGCTTCCGAGAAGCGATCCAAATACTTCAACTTGAAGCCAATTTCCCTTCTGAGTGACTGAACGCGGCTGTGTACATTAGCACCGGAAAAGCCTTTTGTATTTGAATAATCTTGCCGACATTTGCAGCGATGGTCTTCCAAAAATCAAACCCCGCTACATGCGGGGTGTGTGTGTGTGTGTAACATCTGAACAGATGTAAAACTTCTTTGATTCTAACCTTTTCACATTTGCAGGGAATCTTTTTACATTTGCAGGGGGTGGATGCATGGTCTGGCAGTCATCCACCAACGAAGACACTGCCTTTCCATGGTGATATGACAAAGGGACGCCTTTGTCACATACCTGCCTTTTTCGGACATAGCAAGGGGCCAAGCTTAGAACCCCAACCACCATGATTTTATTCCTCCACGGTTGCCACAATCTGTAGTTTATGCATCAGAACCTTCCTCAGATTTTCGCCGAAACCATGTCGCCGACAGTATTATTATTTTTTGACCTATTTTCGCCGAGGATTATGTCGCCGATGAACTTTGGGTCATTTTGGGAAACCATCGCCGAAACACTCTTATTTGGGATTTTCAACATGCTGGTCAAGACTTTGTGGACTCTGGTTTAAACTCCGTTTGACAATATTGGATACCTTACATCGTTTTCGTGAAGTACCTCATGTGGCTCCTTTATAAATCTAACGATCTAGGCTGGTTTGCATGTTTCAGGATTCAGTTCCTGCCGGATCATATAATGATCCATTCTTGTCTAGTGTGTGAGACACACGCTTCATAAATCTGATATGTGGACTACCAATTTGGGATCGTAGCTGGATTCCGTGGCTGCAAAAAAATGTTTGCCTCATGTGTTTCTGTTTTCCGTATAATATAATGTTTGCATTTTGGAGCTAACAGCTTTCCATTGCCCGGCATGCACAGCATCTTGGAGCTCGAATTATTTGTATGCATGGTATCTACGTTTTGAATTCATTTGCACGGTATCCTTTTCTTTTTTCGAATTTAAATCTCTCACTGGCACAATATCTAAAGCATGGTTTGATGCGCACGGTGTTCGAAGCCTTGTGGAAATTCAATGTTTCATCAAAGGAAATGTGTGTTCAAGGAAAATCGCGCCTTAGAAGTGGGAAGAGAGGAGAATAGAGAAGAGAAGAGAGTAGACAAGATAAAACAGTGGAGAAAAGAAGAGATTAGAGAAGCGAGTAGAAATATCTAAATTTCCTACTTTGTTTGACAAGTTCTTATTAGGCCATGTTTTGTTTCCCCGTATTTTTTCATCTTTGTATTTTGTTCCTGACACAACATAAATGCCCAATTGTATACCCTCATGTCAATCCCTATTTCAGGAATCAGAAACGTGTAAGTTTTCCTGACAAGGTTTGGGTCAATTTTTTTTTTAATATATATATATAGAATAAATAAACTATTTGATCCAGCTAGTTTACTTTGATGATATTTTTGTGGCGGGTTGTTTCTTGATGGTTATTTGGTGCAAAATGTGGCCTCATTAAGAATCTACAAAGTTCCTGCTTAGATCTGCTGCACGCCCCCAAATGCAAAAGCTCGGATAGCAAAACCTTTTGAAGGTGCGATTACTGTGGCAATGCCTTACGTCTTTTCAAGGAAAACCATGTGATTTCACTTTGTAGTACTGGGATCTCGTTCACAGTCACAAGGGACCAACAATAACAGTCCTTTCCTAAATGTGTCTTAGCAAACACAAGTCCTTACTAGTGGTATACAAGTAGTACCCGGGAAAGCCGGGGGCGGAAGTTTCAAAATGAAAGGCCTATGGAGCAGAAAACAGAATGTGCCTATGGGATGTGAAACCCCGGCGTGCACGTGCAGAAACAACCTCTTGACATCCCAGTCCTCCAACATCCCTTTTCACGTCTCATCTCACCTCATCTCACCTCATCTCACCTCACCTTTTCCAATCTCATCTCGTCTCATCTCGTCTCATCTCGTCTCATGTTTTCTTATTTGTTATATTTGTTTGTTCCTCTAATTTGTTTCACCTCTCCGCGCATCTCATCTCATGTCGTCTCATCTCTCCTTTCCTCTTCTCGTCTCATCTGAAGTCGTCTCATTTTGTTTCAGTTCATCTCAACTCTTCTCATCGCATATCTTCTTTTTTTAATCGTCTCAACTTTTTCAGCATTATGTCTTCGAATTTTTGCTATTCTCCTTTTCACCGCAGCTCTTCTCAGCGCATCCCGGTTGTCGCAGCCGATCCTAGTCTTGTCTCCGGGGTATTATGGTTGGAGGGCACAGCGCCTCCGCACCAAGGCGTTCAGCAACGCAGTTAACGCAGTCCTGTTGTATTCTTGTTCTTGTCATTTCTTGCCTTTGGAGGTTGGATGTTGGCAGATGTTTTGCTGCTCTTCTTTCTCGAGAGCAATATGCCAAAAAGTCGAGGCAATAAAATCAAAAGTACCATGAGCCTAGCACAAAAAAAAGGCATGAAACCACAAAAGCCGAAAGCCAAGAAGCCACAAAAGCCACGAAGTCAAGAAGCCCCTTCCATTATTTCCTTCCCTCCTTCCTTCCTGCCTTGCTCTCTCTCTCCTCTCTCTCTCTCTCTCTCTCTCCTTTGCTTCCCCATTGCCTCCTTGCTAAACCCTACACTGTGTGTATACATTATACATATGTATATATACATACATACATACATACATACATACATACATACATACATACATACATACATACATACATACATACATACATACATACATACATACATTACATTACATTACATTACATTACATTACATACATTACATACATTACATACATTACATACATTACATACATTACATACAGTACATACATTACATACATTACATACATTACATACATTACATACATTACATACATTACATACATTACATACATTACATACATTACATACATTAAATACATTACATACATTACATGCATTACATACATACATACATACATACATACATACATACATACATACATACATACATACATACATACATACATACATATATACTTATGCAAATACCGTGCGAATGAAAAAGTGTTGTCCCAACATGCGGCAAACAGTAAGGAAAACGCCCCCAACAAGAAAATGCAACAAGACAAAGTCCGAGTTTGAACCCCAATCAATCACCCGCAAGTCCTCGGTCTCCACATGTTTAAATTGATTTGCAGCTAGGCATGCTTTAGGCAGGCGAAGGCCTCTTGGAAGAGTTTGGCAAAAACAATGAGTCCCAAGACTCACCGGGTACCAGCTGGGTCAGGAAATGTCGGCTTCCAACCGACTCTTAGGCAGTTTAGGGAAGCACAACCAGCCAGACACGAATTCCAGGGCCCCCAACGATCCGGCGGGGGTGAATCTTTTCTTGCTCGGTCAAGTAGCGCCATGCCGCATCGATGCTGCGAATGCAACCGGCCTGGCCGTGTCCTCGTGTTTAGAGATGTTTAGAGAAGAGTCCAAGGAAAATTTGTCAGAATGGGATTAATAACAGTACTTAAATGATCTTAGAATCTTAGATGTACAGTGATTGTACAGTGATTGTACAGTGATTGTACAGTGATTGTACAGTGATTGTACAGTGATTGTACAGTGATTGTACAGTACTGATTTCCATGAAATTCAGGAAGCAACTGTATAAAGATTATAAAGCCAGTAAGCCCAACAAGAGAAGCCCACTTCCAAAATCACCGGAGCCTCGGACGGAGTGTGACCCACGTGCTTGGATAGTGAGTAGCCCACGTACTCATAGCTCAAAACATCAGAGCCTGTACAAGAAATGACAAGAAATGACAAGAAATGACAAGAAATGACAAGAAATGACAAGAAATGACAAGAAATGACAAGAACATATCCTAGAATCCTAGCTGGGTTCATCCGAGTTCCCATTTGGGAGTGTAGTTGGCTACAGGGGATAGTCTGAAAATGTCCAAAATGTTACCAAGATCGTCAAGAATGGTTGGGACAGGATCAACCACACGGTTCACCGATGCAGATTTGTTGTCTGAGTCGGTCTCCCAAGACCAAACAAAGTGTGAGTGTTGTCCGAAAATGTGTTTTAAAACACTCTATGAAAAATGGTTGCAACTCATGGCCTACATGACCTCCTTTCACATGTAGCCGCATCGCCTGTAAAGTGTGCCAAGGCATCGACATAGTCCAAGACCAACCCCAGATCCTGGCAGTGACTGAGTCAGGGGGAGCTCAGTGGCCCTGAGATACTCCATCGTCTGTGATGAGCTCGGGGTGACATTCCAGCAAAGCTCAGCTAGGCTTTATATCACAAATAGTCACTATCAACATCAACATCTACAGAATCTACATACATCTACCACCAATCATCGATTGCTCAATCACCCAGTCATCAATGTCATCATCCTCGGCCAGATTTTACCGGAGACCGGGCCTCAGCATTGCCATGACTATAGAGGATCGTAGGCGGAGGTGTGGACAGGAAGTTCATGGAACCTTGGCATACATAATTTTCACGCCGCGCGGCCACAAAGATCGCTGTAACAGTCACCAACAAATGCCAACAAACAATGAAAGGTTTCAAACGAATGTAAACGCCTAATCTCAAAAAGTGCAACACCCATTCGTTCCTGCCGAGTAATTACTTGCAGGGGATGAATCTGCTTATGAACAAGCATATTTGTGCCCTGATATACAACCGATCTACATCAGTATTATCATGCAGTAGTAATTAGCGGCGAGTTGTACCCAACACCAGCAGAGTCTCTTCTAAGTGATCAGTTGCAAACACTTATTGTTCAACATTTCATGAACAAAAAAGGGAACAAAGGATCGAAGTCGAAGCAATCAACACAGAAATTCATGATCTTCCGCCGATGCTCAAAAAATGATTGCCGGAAGATCGAAATTCTCAGAACATCTGCTGCAATTTTTGGCTCCAATCATGGGCATGATTTGGTACCAAACCAACAGGAAAAAAATACGACTGTACGTGTATATGAATATATATATATACATAATTAGAACTCTATGTACGTACGTACGTACGTACGCTCTATCTATCTGTCTGTCTATCTATCTATCTATCCATCCATCTGTCTATCTTTGTCTGTATGTAGGTAGGTACGTACGTACGTACGCACGTACGTTTGTACGTATGTACGTACGTACGTATGTATGTATATGTATGTATTTAATTACATATCCATGTGTATATATATATACATATATGTGATTATATACACTGCCGCAGAAAACAGACATATGGTTTCTCAAACATATGGTACTTGCCGACAAGATCTGCCGACTTTCATGCTCACCAAAGGCAGGAAGAGCTGAAGCCACGTGGTTTTGCAGATTCTCCCCACCGGAGCTGATACCATTCGCGGCTTTCTTCCCGATCTTCTCTCGATTTTGTTCATGATATGTTCATCTGTGTGGTCGCTACTGTAGCTAGTCACTTAGTCACGAAAACCAGATCGTGCTTGGCCTACTCACGTTGCGCCCGCACAAAGAGGGCTGGGATGGACTCACCGGCAGAGGTGACCAAAGTCTTCATGTCAGACCTACCAGAATCGCTCACCAGGTAACTGATGGTACCTCTAAGAGGTTTGCAGTTCGACAGCTGAGCTGCAACCCCTATCATTGTTCATTCTCGGAAATTCACACAACCCTTGGACCCTTTTTAGAACTCAATTTTGAAAAATTTGACTGTCAGAGCTGCCGAAAAAGACTGCTATTCCGTTTGCCGATAGGCTTTAAAAGTTAGACTAAGCAAAAATGATGGCACCATTACAAAACTGGTTTTCACAAGATAGGGTCTCGATATTTCAAACATGTTGTCATCCATTCGTTTGCCATGTTTCTCAACATCTCTCAAGAGATTGCAAGAACCTTTTTTGTTCTGTCAGTCAAAACTAATTCCGACCATTTTTTGTCAAAACCTTCGGATGTCTCTGCCACGCCTTTTCTGCAGTTCGTCCTGCAGGAAAACAAGTGTGCCAATGTGACTGAGGTGTCCAACAAACAACATCACGTGATATGATATGATATGTATATGTATATGTATATATATAAGTATATATATATATAAGTATATAAGTATATATATATAAGTATATATATAAAGTATATATATAAGTATATATATAAGTATATATATAAGTATATATATAAGTATATATAAGTATATATATAGTATATATAAGTATATATATAAGTATATATAAGTATATATATAAGTATATATAAGTATATATATAAGTATATATAAGTATATATAAGTATATATAAGTATATATAAGTATATATAAGTATATATAAGTATATATAAGTATATATAAGTATATATATAGTATATATAAGTATATAGTATATATAAGTATATATATAAGTATATATAAGTATATATATAAGTATATATAAGTATATATATAAGTATATATAAGTATATATATATATATAAGTATATATAAGTATATATATATATAAGTATATATAAGTATATATAAGTATATATAAGTATATATAAGTATATATAAGTATATATAAGTATATATAAGTATATATAAGTATATATAAGTATATATAAGTATATATAAGTATATATAAGTATATATAAGTATATATAAGTATATATAAGTATATATAAGCATATATAAGTATATATAAGTATATATAAGTATATATAAGTATATATAATTATATATAAGTATATATATATATATTATGTTTGTACTATGTCAACTATGTCAACTATCTAAAAAATATAATATCAAATTGAAGTAAATGTCAAGGCGATTCAAGGCGATTCAAGGCGATTCTTGTTTTTTCTTTACGTATAGATTCGTAACATGCATATTGTAAACATATGCTGTATGTGCAATCTCCAGTGTTGTTTCTACTCCGGTAAACTACGAACCGTTACTAACCACATTATTGAGAAAATCGCCGACCCACTTTCAGTGTAAATGCAGGAATCAACATTTGAGTAAGACAAACCAGAGGGGTTGGAGTGGATGACGGGTTTCAAGGTCGAAACTCAATATCGGAGGAATCTAAGGGTTGCGGAGGAGAAAGTTCCATATTTATGTGACGAAAACAATACCTGTCCTGATAGTAGCGCCTGCTCATCTGAGGCGCGGGAAATGCCACACTGTTGATCGCACCTCGTGATCCAAAGTTTCCGCCCTAATGGATTGGAAACGAGGAAAAAAGGAGTTTTAGGAACCAATGTCAAATGTCAGTGAACGTCGAAGTTTTTGAGGAAACACAATGTAACCCTGTGGGTGTTTTCCCAACTGAAATCCTGATCACGGCCACTCAATTTTGGGTACCCAAGTCCAAGATGCTGACTATTCCAACAAGGGCATAAATGGTGAGTCCTGGATCGTAAGTTTTCTGGGCAAATAAAATTGGTTGGGGGCCTTCCAAGTTTCACCGAATTGGTCAAAATTCAAACTGTTCCACGAAATTTTGGCCGGAATTGTTTGGAACATCTGTGCGAAACCATCTATGATTTTTGGATTGTTTCCTTGAGTCGCCTGTAGCCACTCGCAAACCCATTAAGGTGGATACCCCAAAGTTGCGTTAAGCAATAAACATATCGTTAAGTCTTCAATTCGGTGGTCAACACAATCTGGAAATTTGCAGCGCCACTCAACATAGCATCCAGTTGAATGGAATTATATGTTTATTATATTATATTGATATCAATGATGTCCGTATGAAATTCGTTGGCTTTCAATAGTTTTTGTTGGCGGATGTGTTCAAATGGAAGTGGAAATGTTTCTACCCATTTACCTTCCCCCTGTTCCGGCCGTACCCAAGCACGTTTGCTGGCAGCACCCGGATCATGGTTCACATGTGTTACTGAGGTATGAACCCCCCATCACACCGCGAGTTGCTGAACACGGTACTGTCCAGCCACAATTTTTTGCAAGATTGATGTGGGCCAAGATGTTCAAAGATCTCTCCATGTTTGTACAATTCTGGGTCCAAAATGGGGGAGTTGGTGTACGTGTTCGGTTGAGATTCCATTTTCCATCAATACAATGTTCAATTTATCCTGTATATCAAGACCAGAAAAAATCGGACAGTAATTTTTTATTGTTGAGCCTGAAAGCAGCTGCGGTTTGGTAGGTCGAACTGCTGTTGCACATGTCAAAGTTAAATTGCAAAAGAACGGCCGAAAAGTGCAAACCACTCCTCACTGTTTTGAGCATTCAGGGCCTCATGAATGAAAATGAAATGAACCCACATGCGTGTAATGTGGACACTTGAAACTGACATGTTACACTTCTCGTTTTGCGCGCTTCATCCATGGTTTCATGGGCATGAGCACTCAGCTAAATTCTTTCGAATCCTCCTTTGGAGGCTGAGCTGTAGATCAGGTTTCAATTAAGATCTACCGTGCTCCATGGCATGAAATCACCAGACATTATAGGGAGTGGTCTGGATTCCCTTTTTTTCTCCATTTTCCTTCCGACTTCAACTTCCATCTCTTTGGGCTGTCATGGCTCATAAGTCATTGGCCATGATTCGAAGTCTGGTTGCCTGTGGTATGAGCCATTCATACCTGGGCGCCATGCTTTCGATCCTGAAGCAAATCTCCTGGATCACCTTTGGTCTGGCACCACTGTTTTCATTCAAATTGCCAACGTGGAGATTGTCCAGCACATACATAACAATCCTTTGAAGATCGGCTGCATCTCTGAAGTGACCACGTTGGAGCCTTATGTTGATCTCGTTTTTGAGACTTCTGACCAGATTCATGTATGGACCTTCTGGATCTGGTTCTGGTTCCACTGCAGGGTCATTTGCACCTGCATCCTCCTCTGAGTCAATCTGCTCTGCATTTTCATCTGTATCTTGGCCAACTCCAACTCCTTGGCTTTGCTGCCGGACAGTTTTTTTCTGGCGTGGTTACAAGTGGTTCAAAACTTTCACAGCAGAACACTGGAACTTATGTTTGCAGGTGGCAGAGCTGGATACCTACGCTGGTGACATCAGGTCAAAAACGCGTGAGCTGCAAACTACAGCAGCGCAACTTCGAAATGATGTTGCAAGTGTTGAAACAAGCCAAGGAATGCTATCAGACATGGTGGATTCGATTCACTTTCGTTTGGTGGAAATGGGCGGCTATGCAAGGCTGTCCGAATTGTCTCCTGAGCAGAGGAGACACATGTACACTCAGGAGAGAGGCAACCTCTCAGCCTCGAGGACAATGGGACAACAGAAATTCCTTCAAGTTGACCAAGCCAGAATCACCAAAATGAAAATTCCAGTCAATGTCAAAATTGTGCCAAAGGAAAATGTTTCATCCTTGAACGCATTGGGCTGCTCAAGCTTGCATTGGTCTGCATCGACTCCATCATCGTGCAGCGCCATTCCAAACTGAAACTTTTCCTTGAGTCAAAAGCGCCTCAACATAACAATGATTCAAATGTGCATGTTGCACATCAAGTTGACATGTTTCTGACAACTGAATATACGCTATTGGAGCTGGAATACAAACAGGGTAAATATGTTTCACCCCGCCTCGGCATTGACTTTAGTCACAAATGCCGTCATTCAAAAGAAAACATGGAAAAGTGCTATGCTAAGCCAGTAGCCGTTGGGGCATGCTTTGATGTGCCACTACTTGCGGTGCTCCTTCGGAGCAAAGGCCTAGCACAGCCTACGAAACACTCTAATTTCCTCAAGGTAATTCCAGCGCCAACGGAGACTCAAATTATCCTCCGGCTCAGGCGCAAGGCGTTGGCTCAATAGCAGCACTGGTCACTGCTGTTGAACTCCACTGCTGTTGGAACCTTTGGAAATTTCTATGTTTCTTCATCAAACTCTGGGCTCTCTGATTCATTGCTTTCTTCGTGCTGCATCAGAATCCATAAATCTGGATCGCTCACCTCGGATTGGGTGCTTCGGCGATACCTGAAACGTATCTGTGAGGCTGTCTCCTCGAAAGAGCTAGATTCTGTATTTGCGCCAGCAGCATCGTAGTCCAGATTGCGGACCAAGGAGTGTGCCACCATGTCCACATTCGTACTGAACCCACTTGCACTGCTGCTAGGCTGTCCAGCCTGAAGAGACGCAATGAAACTCATTACACGCTGGGCATCGCCAAAGTTGACCACTGGAGCGTTGATGCTAGCAAAGTTTGGTGAATTTTCATCATCACTGATGTCTGGCAGGGTTGCTAGACTTTGGAGTGCGGCTTTTCTCCACCTTGCATCTTCGGATCTCGTTGCGCCTTGAAGTCCATGGAGAATGGTGATTCTTTCGTTGTAAAGAATCCTGCGTTCACCACTGTCTGCTGACAGCCTTCTTCTTTCACAACGTTCAATCAACCATGACACATAGTCTTCTGCATTTGGTTCTCGCCTCTGTCTTTCTAAAGGTTCAGCCTCAGCGGCACTCATTTCAACGTCCTCATCATGAACTTGTGGGTTGTGTGCCGAAATGGCATCTGGCTCGGCATCGGGCTCGAACTGGTTGTCATTGTTGTGGCGGCTGCCACTACAAAACCACCAAACCAACAGAACTGCCAAACCACAAATGGTTGTGAAAAACACCATAGCCCATGAGGGTTGAGCATCTGGATCAACTTCTCCATCACAACCCTTTTGAAACAAGCTCAAGGCGCTCAGCATGGCCAACATGTTGGCCTTCTTCGTCATGATGCCGCCAGGGTCATTGGCACCTTCAACCTCGGCTGTTGTAAGGTTATACATACCAAGCAAACACATGAGGCTTCGAAGTCTGGCACAAGGGAGACGCTTTGTCCCGATGTCAGCTGGGTTGCAAGAGCCTGCAACTGTAGATAGCTTGATCTGGCCTGAGTTGATGTACTCCTGCAACCATAAGACTCTGCAGGACAAATGCCGAACACGTCCTACCCCTTGTCTTTGCAGTATGCCACGGGCTCCAGAGCTGTCGGTCAGCAGGTAGATCTTGACTTTGCTGTTTGTCATCCAAGAGATGATACCTGCCAGAAGCAATCCATCTGAAGCACCTGAACTGCATGCATAAACTTCAGCCTCTGCACTGCTAAGAGAAACCAGCTTCTGTGTACGGCTTGATGAGTACAGTAAACAGCTTCCCAAGAAGATTGTTGAGCATGAAATTGAACGCCTGGTTTCTTTGTTGCTTGCCCAATCACTGTCAGTGAAAATTTCCATGGCATACTCTGCAGCAGAACCGTACTGATGGAACAGACCATTGTTTTTGCCGCGCCAACGTAAGGAAACACAAACATCTTCATGGCAAGCAAGGTATGATACCAGGTGGCGCAAGATGGTCATGCTGCAGGTTGTAGGCTGAGTGCTGTACGTTGAAAGATGACGTACAACATGTTGGCAGTGAGGCAAGTCTGAGGCCAGATACAAAAGGATCCCCACGCACGTACGGAAAACTCGAGCTTGATCTGGACTGACTTCACCTGACGTGTCCAGTTGATCCATCTCTGCATGACCTGGAGTGCGCTTGTTTTGTAAGCGCTTGTTCAAACCCAAAAGACTGCACATCTGGTCAACGTGCTTGTGGTGTGCTTGGATCGTGATCCTTGAGTCATGTTGTAACACCATCTTTCTTTTGAGAAAACTCACTTCATCTCCAGGCTTTTCCATCAACTGCGTTGAGACTTCATATTTGCTTTGAAGGCAGCTCAGGAACTTGTTCATCACAAAGTCACGTTTGCCCACCACCAATATATCATCCACATGAATCAGCGCAAAGCAGCATCCATCCTGTGACTTCAGGATGCAAGGGTATGGCTCATGCACTGACATGCCAAGCTCTTCTTTCATAACTTTGGTGATGTCCTGGTGCCACAAACGGCTTCCATCACGTTGCCCTGGTAAAACCTTTCCCAGTCCATAGTCGGCCTGTTCACCATTGGCCATTTGGCACTGAACCACTGTAGGGCACTGTTGCTTCACCGTCAGAAAGGCGTCCTTGACATCTATTCCAAGCATAACAGCGTCACAATGCTGCTGCATTTCCAAAAACATCACTGGAAGCAACCTGGCAACTATTGAGCTGCTTGCCGGGGAAAAGAGGCAATCTCTTTCACTTTCCATCCATGCAAATTCACGCGCCACAAAGCGTGATCTTCTGAGCCATATCTGCTGTCCATTTTTGTCAAGCTTTTCACGCCACGTCCTCACAAAACGTGTTGACAAAACTTTTGCATCATGGGGCATGTCTGCAGCATTGGTGAGCACTTGCATACCTGTCAGCCGCTTGATTTCGACACTGTCTGCAATTGCATCCAAACGTCTCAGCTCATCTTCAGCAACCTCTGGTTCAAACTTGCTGTGTGGAAAATTGAGCTGTTTGGACATGTCATCGTCCAGCATTTCGTCAGTGTCGTAGAAATCATCGTGATGAAAATTCCAATCATATTCTTCCAACTCATCCAGTTCATCTGCATGAAAAGAAAATTTCACCGGCTGATCCTCGTGCTCATACAAACTGAGATCTGTGCTTGTCACCTGCTGCAAACGCTTTTTATCATCATCATCATCAGAAAGCTTGGGTGTTTTGGGTGCTTGTTCACCAACTGCTGTATCATCAAGCAAAAACGCTTCCTCCAGCACTTTGAAACCTGCATCTGCAAACCTGGCACGTTTTGGAGACTCTGTGCTAGGGTCTTCTTCTGCTCTCTTCTGTCCATGCTCAACAGAGGTGCCAGAAACGTCCAGCATTGGTGTTGTTGGGGCAGCTTCATCAATGGGCTCTGTTGCTGGTTGCCCCGCCTCAGTTTCATGTTCGACATCCTCATCTGGATGTTCAAGTGCATATTTGGCCACATTGATGGCTTCCAAGTCAAGCTGTGGTGGAAGTGCGGCACCAACACCAAACGCAACAGGTTGGCTGACTCTTTTGTTGT